AAGACAGTCAGGTCTCACTTGGTATTCTAGTGCACTCAATACTGGTGAACAGTGATTCATAATTTTATTGCAAAAATGATTATGAATACTAGGTTCTCCTACTTTCTTCAAAGGGACAGTTATGGATCCTGATAGCCTTAACTTTTGTTTTTAATAGAAAGAAATAGAAAATTTTAATTGAAAGAAAATGCATTTTCATCTTATCCCAGAACGAATCAGCTTACCATCCATGCATTATGTAGTGAGGAGCCAGAAAATAAGAAGCACATGTATAAGTGGGCTTCCATGTTACTGTTTCAAGGTGCCAGTCACATAAATGGAGGGCGGTGAATTTAGTGGAAGTGGCAGGTATAAAATGGAGCGAAAACATGAACAAAGGATTTTTCTGAGAATGACCACTAGTTTTTGTATTTCTTGAGGTTTAGTTATGTTTAAAATTTTGGGCCTTACACATTCATTTCTTTGTTCACTGAACATGTGTTGTTTTCAGACTCTTGAAACCCTGGCATCACCTGTTCCATTAGGCAAAGACTTTCTGGTCAATGGTCACTAGGTTTATGTCAGCAGAGAGACTACCACAGCCTGAGTGATAAAGAACAGGATCAAAGTATAGAAGACTTTCTTAGAAGGAGGGCCAGATCTCTTAGTAGGAGACAAATACTACTTGGACAATAGACTGCAGAGGAGTATATGTTTTTCTGTTAACTGATTTTTTTTCATTTAAAGAAATTTCTCACTTTCTATGAAGCTTTTTAAAAACCAGAAAGAATATTGACAAAGATTTACAATTTCTGAAAGAAAAAATGTAAAATCCTAGAGAAATATTCAACACAAACCAAACTGACATGATAGTAAACTCAAATGCATAATAACTTTTTTTTAAAAAAAGGAGTATGGCATCTCACATATTGAAAATGACAAAAACAGCTATTGGTACCTTCTCTTAATGTAATTTCCTAAGTTAAGAATTTATTCATTTCTTCCTTCCTACAGGAATTCCTCCAGGTCTGAATTTGAGGTTACTTGTGACGTAGCTTCCTTTTGGGAAGCCTAAGAGGCCAGCAGAAACATCACTTTTCCCTTAATTTATTGCCACTGATGATGGGGCCTCTCCAGGAGTCAAAAAGCATTGTTTTCTTGAACACTCTCCCATCCCTCCCCCTTCCTCCCCCAACTTGGCAGGACTTCTTAGGTCCTGATAACCTGCTGTGGCTTTGGTCTGTAGGCTCTTTCCTATTACCTGATTCCGTACCTCCCAGCTTCTGGATCTTTTGGCATTACAACCCACATGGGATTGGTGGGCGTAAGGGAGGTGAAAGGGGAAGTGGGAAACAAAGAGGGTGTTTTGTTCCCATCAATGTTTTTGGCTGTGCTGTACATATAACAACATGCAGGAAAATATTAATCCATGGGGCAGAGATGGGAACTTTTGCATGACCTATCATCTTAGAGAAACCTGAATACCATAGATAAGATAAAGGTTGAGTAGAATTGATAATGAAAGAATCTGGAAACTCAGTGGTCTCTCACTCACCTATAACAATGTACAAATATTTCTAGAGGAGAAATCATTTGAAGCTGACCTAATGCCAACAGTCCTCTCTCTCACCCTTTTCCAAACACACACAAACACAGTCCTTGTCAGTGCTCCAGCACCTGTGATTCTAATGATGAAGGGGTGAGAGACTCCCACACCTGCCAGAGAATGGGGCATCCCTCCATAATTTTAGTTCCTTTAAACTTAATAATGATTTTCTTAAAAACCACTGTTTATTAGGAAAAGGTACACTTGGTTCTATGTGCATGCAGTCTGTTTTCTCTTTATAGGGAACTAATTAATACACGATCACACCCCACTCAGGTATGAAAGCTGCAAACAACTGCACCCCAATGTGATCTGTGAGACTTCATATAAGATGTGCCCCGCATCGTTGCAGTGACCTGCATTAACTAGGAAAAGCTTGGACGAGTAGGACCTAATTGACAGGTAACTTCTCTTCATTTTATTTTCAAAGTAATTAGACTCATGAAGCTACAAGACCACAACAGTGCTGGCAGACTGCTCACAGCCTTTTCTGATGAGCTGGCGATACCTTGTACATTAACAAGCCTGGAGTTTGCCGCTATTGTCCTGTGGATTCAGAAGGAGCAGAGTCATCTTTTCCTCCAAGGCACTCGTAGTGAGATGTACATTGTTGTTACGTGAGCTAATGAACTGAGGGAGGAAGAGCATCGACCACAACTCTAGGCAAACAAAGTTTCTTATCAAAAGAGATCTTCAGAAATGATTCATTTGATTGATTCACAGCGAGGGTGCTTCCTTCATTTCAAATGGTTTAAGAAAATCAGTTTGAGCGAGTGACAATTGTGGTGGAGGGACAAGTGTCAAGGGGGAGGGACAATGATCTACCCTGCTTGGTGGCCATCAGCTGTATCAAGCAGGCACCTGAACACTCTGTGGCTCCCCAGACTCTCACATGTGGAGAGTCACGCCATACCCATCACACAGACCAGAGATGAAGAGGTGCCCTCACATTGAACTCTCAAGCTGCCATGGGAGCCTGGCCTCCTACGTACTCCTTCGGCATTCTTTATTTATAACTATGTAGATGTACTTGCTGAGGCCCAGATAATCTGCCTTTTTTTCTCAATTACTCACAAGGTTTAGGCAAAGTTGCCTATTTTTTATTTCATTTTTGAGGTTATAAATTACTGAAATCGCAGGCAAGGAACCAATCCAGGATCTATTTGCTAGAAGCCTCTCTAGGTTAGCTTGGCTCACTATTTCTTATTCCAATGTGAAAACCATCATTACAACTACTTCTCTTTGAACTCTGAGAATGGAGAATCCTGAAAATTTGACAGTTGGTGGCAATTTATGTAACTTGTTCTATTACTGTTGGCAGAATGTAGGAAAACATAAGAATGAGAATCTGAATCTATAATACACACACACACACACATGCACAGACACCCATATTTATATTATGTTTTAGAAGCAGCAAAAGACAGACATCGCAGTGTTGGGACGAAAGAGAGATTGTTTGCTGGATGGGACTTAGCACTCAGGGCAACTTTGTTTTTATTCCTTAGTTACTGGGTAGTTTCTAATTATCAACTGGTGAGTACGCCTGCCCTGGCCTGCCTCTCTCTTTCCTCTGCTGCCCTGGGGATGGCTCCCCTCACTTGCTCCCTCGCATACACCTGTCTTCTGAGCTACAGACCCAGCCTTCCCGCTGCCTCCCCACAGCCTGCTGAAATCTCTGTGTGTGCTTTCACAGTTTGTTCCCCCTGCTGGATACATCTCTCCTTTTGCTGGCCTCTCTATTTCTTGACCTTCGTAGTCCAGCTCCGACCCCACCTTGGGGAAGCCTCCACCACAACTGCCCTACCTCTTGACTCCCCCTGCTCTAACCTCACAGGTCAGCCTCTAAGATCTCTACGTGGGCACCTCTGTCTCCCCCGCTAAACAATGCTCCGTAATTATCAAGGAGTAGAAATAGCAACTCACATTTGTAATGAGCTTTGCATACCCAAGGCCTTCGCTATACATTTGACCCTTACAGAGACCCCTCAAGGTAGGTTCAAATGCCATTTTCCACACATGAAAACAGAACAGTTAAAGTAGATAGTCCTGACTGACACAGCTGATGTGGTAGAAAGGAGACTACATGAGTCTGCCCTATAAGCTCAGGCACTTCTAGGGCATGGTGTTCGTCCCTCGAGCGTGGGGGTCTTGGCTGGTTCCTCTCTGTCTTCCCCAAGCACCTGTGGCTGTCAGTAAATCTTTGTTGAACTGAATTGGACAGGAGGTAGATAAGAATGGGGTTGGTGAGCTGGGTGATTTAAGATTTAATCCCACCCCATGCCTTCACTGTCTTTACAACACCTAGACCTCCTATGAGGCTCCCACAAGGGGCTGTTCTTTTTGTGAGGGAGGAAGCACCTGTATCCCTCGATGGCCCATTTCTAAGGAAACCGAGACAGGAATGTATGCCAGTAGATAGCAAGACTAAGAAAGACCCTGTTATGAAACTATTGATAGATAAGACTTCTTGGTCCTTTAAAAATTATATATGCTAAGAAGAATTAATAAAACATATGCACTACAATGAAGTGTAAAAATAGGTTTATGATGATTAAAAGTTTTCAGTAATTCTGTTACAGTAAGCATTTTTCATAATGCTGTTTTAAAAGTGTTTTCCCATGTTTCTGTCATTTTAATTTTCCTTATCATTGTTTTATGAATTATAAGGTAAGAAATAGTTAATGTCCTTAATGGAAATCTCATATTCTACAGAATGCATGAAAACTTTGTCATGGGAGGATTAGAAACATTAAGACAGAACTCAAAGGACATGAAACTGCTGACAGGCTGGGTGCCCATGCTCTGCTGATCCAGCCCAGACCCCATCTTCTGGTTGCTGAGAATGGCCCAATGCCCAGGTATCAGGCTGCTCAGGGATGTAGGTGAAGCAGTGTATTCTTCATTGCCCCCATGCAAGGACATATAACAGGTTCACTTCCCATCCCAGATATAGCACTGGAAGCCATGTGTCCTGACAAGCATCTCAGTCTGGAACAAACAAGGATGGCTGGCTACCCCATCAAGGTGCTATCCAAAACAAGGATCATGAAAGAATGTTGAAGCTATTGAGGATTTTTAGTTTTCATTAGCTTACCAATTATTATCATCAAGTGTTCCCACTTTGAGCAATAAAAGGTTAACGTTTGACCTTAGAAAAAGGACTCTCCCCGCAGTTCTATCAATACATCTGGAATGCCGCTCATGCAATTCAATCCGTTTTCCTCTCCTACTCATGGCTATGTGCTATTCGGAAAGTATGCATGAACTTAGAAGTATGTGACACGTGCCCACGTTTGTACCCTTGGTGCTTAAAGTCCAAGGTTAATACTATTTGCCTTAGAGTGAGGTCATGAAAATGTTACGGATCATGGAATCAAACATGGACGTTAGGATAGGTGTGTGTGTGTGTCTGTGTGCACGCGCATGCATGCCTGGAGGAGGGAGGAGGCTCTCATCCTGATGTCTCTGTCCCAGTTTCTGACTGCTCCAAAAGAAAAACTCTCTCTTCAGGGGCTGCCACAGGCTCTGGGAAGCAGGAGGCCTAGACGAAAGTGAGTCACATTACTTTTCTCTATGTTTTAAAATAAAAACTTGTGGTAGACTCAGTAGAAGATTCTTCTGGTTCTCAGTCTTTACCAAAGCAAAGTTATTCCATTTCTGCCCTTCCAAGGATAACATTTCTGACATCATTTTAAAATTTAAAAAATACACATTGTCATTTTCTATTCTTTAATGGGCAAATGTTTTGTATCCTTAAGCAAGTTACACAGAAAAAATATATGTACTGAAAAAAAAGAAAAATATATGTACTGTTTACAGTACACTTAACAGTTAATATTAACAATGTTTAAGATGTTAAATCTTAACAATGTTTAAGATGTCTGAAGAATTACCTATGTAGTAACACATATTATCTATAATGCAGTTTATCTCTAACTATACGTATATGTGGGATATGTACATGTCTGTGTTATGAATGTGTATATATATATATAACTATGTTGTGTGTACACACAGGCATGGACACACATACATACATACACACACATACACACACACATACACCCCCCCACCCCCAGCTTTAGAACCACATAGCATAGTTGTTACCTCTGGGGAGGGGGCGGAAACAAGGTCTGGAAGGGCTCGAGGAATTTGAGGAAGACATCATACCCTCACGCACTCTCCCTCAACGACATTTCAGTCCGGCCACATTGTTTACCCCTTCCACTGTTCATTCCTCTTCTCCAGGAAGGTACTGGGTGCTCAAGAGGCACCATGCTTATTGGGTAAGGGTGAGGTCTTTGGGATACACTGTGTGGTTTTGAATTTTGCATGTGCCATTTCTGCCTGTGTGACCATGACCTGAATCCTTAAGTGCTCCAAGCCTCAGTCTCCTAAAACTAAAAATCTAAAAATCCTTTTAATGAATAAATAACTCTGCCTATTTGGGGAAGACGTGCTACACGGAAGGACCAGACTAAAATGGCTATTTCAATAAAGAAGGAGTATTACTGGATAAAAGTTTTTATATTAATTCCAATTTCCCTGAAGACATTGGCGCCCATTATTAGGAATTGGGAGAGTCACACAGATAAATGCATATACAGAAATCTCTTCCTCTGTAATATTAAAAATACTGGTACCCTTGCACAGTGCCTTATATGTTTCAAAATGCATTAAATGACATCACAACTTCACAATTTTTGCTTTGTGCATTTGACATGGACTGGAGAGCTATTCTTTTTAATATCCATTTGGATGTGGCTAATTCTTTGTTTCTCTGAAAGATATGATAGCCTTTGCTCTGAATTGTTCCCTTGTCAATTTCCTTAAAATGGAAGGTAATGAGAGAAAATCTAAAATAAGAAGAGAAAATAGGCACCAGTTTCATAAGGACAGTAGGTGAGTGGGACTTTATTTTCATGATATACCTCTAGACAAAAGCATTTACAGATGGCATTTTTTTTCCTTTATAGTTAGAGGTGATTTCAGAAAAGATTCGTGCCCTGGAAACAGCTGAAAACACCCCAAATGTCCATAGAGGTGAGAACCGATTAGCACTAACAACTGTATTTGAAAGGAAAATTTTTACTGTGAAAAAAATTAAATCGCCACTAATAAGATATGTACTTCTTTCCTGGGGAAAAGGAGACTAACTCATAAATTTTAGGTTCAAGTTTTTATTTTATTTTATTTTATTTTTTTAAAGATTTTATTTATTTATTCACAGAGACACACACAGAGAGAGAGGCAGAGACACAGGCAGAGGGAGAAGCAGGCTCCATGCAGAGAGCCCGACATGGGACTCAATCCAGGGTCTCCAGGATCACATCCTGGGCTGCAGGCGGTGCTAAACTGCTGTGCCACGGGGGCTGCCCTAGGCTCAAGTCTTTAAATAAAAAATTAAAATATCCCCAATAATACAACCATAAATTCAATATATTTTTTCTACCTAAATTTTCTCCTTCCTCCACCATCTTTCCCGCTTATGCTATGTATCATTCCATCTTTCTAGTGTATCTCTCCACCTGTGTCTATCCTCTACCTACTTGTTTATCTGTCAGTCTGACTGCCTTTATCTTCTGAACATCTACCAGATCTTGTTATATAGAGATATATTCATTTATATCTTATTTCTTGGCTTCTCTTCCTTCTTAAACTGCAGAAACTACCATTGGAGTTTCATATGGTTAATATGTCAACAGTTCTAACAACAATAATAGGTAACATTTATCCATTACCAAGTGCCAAGCTTGATTGCTCTGTTCATGGAAGCTGTTTTTCCTAATGGCGCCCCAAGTTCTGCCAAGGTAGATTTCATTACTTCTATTTTGTTTCTGCCAGTGTATAGAGTAGTTCAGCAGCCCGTTCAATGTCACATAGTAAAGTTCCCAGGAACCCTGGGAGAGGTTGTGGAGGGGAGGAAGGAGTCAAGTAGAAAGGATGTGGGGCAGGGGAGGAAGGAGTCAAGGATCACCGTAAGATGGAGACGCTAGTGAGCAAAGGGCAGTGTCATTGCTGGAGACATACAAGCTGTTGAGGGCTGTTGGGAAATGGTAATAGTAATAGCTTTCACATCAGAGGTGGCAGATGTGGTCATGGTGGCAGACATGTTTACCTGTAACTAGCCCATGAACATCATCATTTAATTCTCTCTCTGCACATTCTCATCATTTAGTCTCTCATAGTAACTCTATGAGGAACATGATGGGTTTGATTTTGGACATGGTGCTCTGGATGTGGCCATGAGATAAGCCAGGGAAAATGTTGGACAGGTCACTGAAGAGGCACAGTGTGAGCAAGAACCAAATACAGGAGTGATTGGTTCAGAGGCCACAGAGGCCATCTCACAGATTAGTGACTGGAAGAGGGGCCGATGCCAGTTGGGGAGCAGGAGAATGAAGGAAGAAGGATGAGGGGAATGCATGCTGAGCTGTGAGGTTAAATCTCAGAAGCCAAGCCAAATAGAAGGTGGTCTGCATTGTCAGCCAGTCAAAGGAGAGGCTATGAGGTGAGAAAGTTCAGATCTGAGAATATCAGAGTCATGGCTCTCCAAGAGAGCAACTGTAGAATGGTGGTGGGACTGAAACTTAATTCAGAAGGAGAACAATGTGATTGTGCAGAGGGGAAATGGCATCTTTAGGCATAGAAGTTCTTAGAAGTTCCTTTTCTAGGCAAGGTGATGAAAGAAAGAAGTACCATAAGGTTAAAATGGGGGTTAGGGGAGAAAGGAATGGAGGCAGGGCAAGGTGTTTAATTGCCCTTAGCTGTTGAAGCTCCTAGTAGCACTGGTACAAGTGGGATCCCTTTCTTCCTGTTTTCCCTGACTGTAAAAAGTCTCTAAAGTGTATTTCCAGGAAATGGGGGTAAGGTGGGTGGACTGGAGTAAAAGGAAGTGGCATGGAATTGGAAACACTGTGTTATCAGGACACGTGGAAAGGAAAGAGGAGGGTGGCTCAATGCTCTTCTTCATTGCCTACATGTCTTATTAGAGTTCATGGTCAAATTTATTATGTAGGTAGACTTGAACTCAAGAGACAGTCTCAGAAATGTGGTTAAGGTGGCATGCATAGTTAACAGTTTCCTTAGCATTACTCTCTTTGGATTTAATGGCTTCAGATAAGACTGAAATTTAAGGAATTATAAAGGAAATTGACAACTAGCCAATGTAATTTATAGAACATTAAAATGAAATATGAAAACAATCAAATATCATTCATTTGTATGTGGTTGAGAGGACCAACACATCCCTAAATATGTTCTTTCTTGTGCATGGACAAAGAGACTCCTTCAATTGTTACCTTTGAAAAAGTGCCTCATTTTGAACACAGTGAGAGCTGAGGGTCAGTGGAAGTGGCTTCTCTCTGGAGGACAAATGCACATCAAAATGAAAGGTGAAGAGGACCAGTCTCAGGAGAGAAGGCAAGACATTCATTTAGAGGAGAAACACTTGGCATATGCCTGAATGTCCAATGCTTACAACATGCATGCATGACAAGAAAAGGAAAAATATAGGGGAAGGACAGAGAGAATGAGGTACAAAGAGAGGAAAGAAGCAGAGTATGCTTGATTCTGGGCAGTTAGCTTAATTCCCAGTGGCCAAGAAGATCTGCACATCCTAATTTTCATGACTAATTTTACTAACTCCAAAATCCTTGGCTATATGGATGAGTGAAGTGACCATGGCCTAAAAAAAAGGGTGGTCTCTTTAGTATCAGTGTGCCAGTAGGAGTCCAAATGCAGCATTACTCCAGTGGTGCTCCATCCAGAGCAAAGGACCAGGGGCAGAATGGCCTCAGTAAACATGTGGCCTTGGGCATCCACCAGCTGGGGAGTTCTCAGGGGCCCCACTGTGAGAAATACCAAAATAAAGACAGGCAGGAAGATCTGAAGGGGCAGGTTTGGAGAATAAAAGATGGACACAGATTAAAGGAAATATTTAACACTGAGTTTTGGGGCATCCTAAGGAAACACTGCCACTAGGGACATTGGTTATGGGATCTCTGGAAAGTGAAGTTGGGTGCAGCCTCCAGCACAGATGCTCTCTTTACTGTCCCATATGGTCAGTATTAAGAGATTAACTTATAATCCAACATGAATTTGAAGAGGTCTCTGATTCTGTATGTTTTTCAACGTGTTTAAAATATATATAACATTGAAAATAGATTTTATTTGAAATACTTGTAGGAATAACTTACAAAATATTATGTGCTAGTATAATTTTTAACTTTGAAAAGGAAAAACTTTAAAAAAATATCTTTGAGGAAAAGTTATCCAATTAAATAATACAAAGCTTTAGAAAATGAAACTCCTTAGCTGAAAGCTGCTGATGCATCCATGTCTTTAGAGTTTCCCTTCTTGTTCTCAAGGAAGACTAGATACTGCCCACATTTTGTGCACGATATCTAGATTCTTAAAAATTGTCTGTCTCATAATCCCTGGGGAGAACTGCCTTGTTAGTAGTGTTTTATATTTGTAAGACAAGTTAGAGTAATCCCAGTTGAATAATGGTAAAATTACCGACTTTGACCTTGACTCTTCACACATTGTCTCTTAAAAAGTTTAAATCAGCCCTTGAAAACAAATTGAAAACAAAACTGGAGAGTTTTCCTCTAGGCATTTGAAAGACTGACAATCATTTTTTATCCCTTCAATCTAAGTGAAGTCTCATGGAAATGGTTAGAGCAGCAAAATGTGTTCTATAATTTGCTATTCATAAAAATATAAAGTGGCACATTAAGACTTTTTTGTAGACTTCACCGCCAACTTAAAAAATGGATACTTTAAAATTGCCCTGAAGTTATATGCTAAATGTGTTTGAAATTTATTTTATTTATCATAAATATTCATTTGAATTAAAGCCTTCAAATGTCATATCAAGGAACATATTGTAATTTTTTAAACCAGGACAAAACAAATGGTTACTATTTATGATGTTTTTAAAAGGTTTTTTTTTTTTAAATTTATTTGGTCTCAGGTTTATGAGTTACAGAAGAGTAAGGAATCTTGGGCATTTGGAAAAATGGAAATCTCAGGAGTGGATAAGTGTGTCAGATCCTTTCTGCAGCTAGGAAATCTAGTGACAGCCACATGCTACATAAAGTTACAGATGTCTGTGCTTGTCTCACATTTGACAAATGCTCTCAACACACCTGACCTGGGAGCCAACAGGCATAACCACCCTCCAAGAAAGGTACAAACACATACTAAAATAAAATGTATTTTCATCAAGTCTAAATATAGTTCTATATAAGGCATCCTTGTTGGAGAAATCTAGCTTTATACACCGTAATAAAAAATGTATTTAAAATGAAATAAACACCTTAATTCATGCTTATCTTGAGACATACATACCAAAGTTTAAATGTTTAAAAACAAGGCAATAAAGGCATTTTTATGGTTGATAACAAACTACAAATTTGTCTGGGGAAAAATCATTAAATGTTTGACAAAAGAGCTGTGATAAGACATAAAGAACACAGTATTCACTGTCTAAAGAACCAGAGGGGGAAATACAGCTTGTCCCCGATCCCACATTTTCAACTATGTGTGCTATGATTACAGTTATAAACAATGGCTACTGTGTCAGCACAGAGAAAAACAAACAATAGGTCTTTTTCCAAAAGTATCTGTAGGAAGAACATACAAACGAGTCAACAAGGGAACTGAAATAATCCTTGTATTCTTTGTAAAAATAATACTTAAAGGTTCATTTGCAAGAATGTTGGTATTCTTTTTCCACTGTGCATCTTATTTTCTTTCATTCACTATAGAATTTTTCCCAACTTGCACCTGGTTTGACCAGCAGTCAGCTGGCTTCTGAGGATTTTCCCTGTGCTATTCCCTCCAGCCCCCAGAGACTCTGTCGACAGCTGCACAACTGTGCTTTCTTTAGTTATAAAAGCAAGCTTGTGACATCCTTTGCTTGATTCAGTTAAAAACTGAATTAATTGAAATCAATTCAACAAATACTCCCTCAGTGCTTAGTGCGTGGAAGGCACTGCTGGATTTGGGGCGGGGGGGATACTGAGAGAGGAGTGAGC